AGTACTCCAGATGGGGCCTCACCAGGGCAGTGTAGAGGGGAAGGAGAACCTCCCTCGTCCTGCTGGCCACACTCCTCCTAATGCACCCCAGGATGCCATTGGCCTTCTTGGCAGCCAGGGCACACTGCTGGCTCATGGTCAACCTGTCGTCCACTAGGACACAGGTTTAAGTTTAAAGCCAGGCTTTTTCCCTGTCTGTTGCCTCCCAGCCTGGGCTCTGCCTTGAGCAGTGTCTCAGCATGGCAAACAACTGCACATCCCTGCTTCTCCCCGGGTCCCTCTCGTGGCCCCTGTGCCAGCAGCCGTGGGCCCTGGAGAGCTGAACATTGCAGCTGTCCATGGGAGGCCGCGGCAAGACGAGAAAGTCTGAAATCCCTGTGGGGCTCCTTTGTGCCTCCGGCTAATCTTCCTTCCCTGCTTCACAGATGATCTCAGCTCCTGCTGCGGCCCGATCGCACAAATCTGGAGGGGACGCGTGGCCCTGGCTTGTCATGCCCTGCTGTCCCCTGCCGGAGACGAAGCAGCCATAGGGTCAGGTGTAGATGGCCCAGGGGGTCAGAAGCGACTGCAGCTGCTGTGATGTTTTCCTAGACACCCCCAGCAGAGCCCTGTGACTGATTCACCTCCTGTCTTGGTGCATCAGGCATTGACTCACACCCAAAACGCATCAGATAGTGTTATCCGTGAAGGGCTTCATGGACTTTGCCCCAAGTATCCCCACCGAACTTTGAAACCAGGCCTTCTTTCGGAGGCGGAGGCGGATGGAGACCTTTGCTGGGGATGGTCTGAACCTCCGCTGGAACATGAAACCAGGCTGGACAGCTCTCCCCAGTTCCTGCTTCTCGGTGATTTCTTGTGCCAGCGCCAGCGTGAGGTCTGTCAAAAAAAAAAAGATCTGATCTGAGAAAGCCCTCATCTTGCTGTCTTTCCAGCCATGACAAAGCCCTTGGTAGCTCCAGCAGTGACAGAGGGAAGGAGCAGAGAGCTCAGGCTTTCAGGCCGCTGCCAAACAGATGCTCTCGCGGCTGAAATCAACTTCTGCAGCAGCTGGCATGCAGGCAGACAGGCAGATGCCACAGCCTGGCTGGCAAGAGTTTATGCCCTTGAAAATCTCTCCCAGGAGCTCACTCTTTTTGCACTCTGCTTTGCCCAGTGAGTTCATCAGAGGGAAAAGAAAACCCCTAGCAGAATAGGAAACACCCCAACAGACTCCTTGATGTCCAGGCCAGCCAGAGCCCATCACGGACCCGGTGGCTCTCTCTGAGCAGCTGCCCCCAAACTGGAGGGCTTAGCCCCAGGAGCAGTGTTGAGCACCAGCCGCGCTGGCTCTGCGGAAATCAGGGGAAAAAATGGTAGAGACAGTAAGCCGTAGAACAGCAGGAACAGCAGAAACAGTAAAATATGTGCTAAACAGATGCGGTTAGTAGACGTCCCAGCCAGTCCAACATCACTGGGAGCACTCAAAGGATGTTTGTACTTCAGCCATAATATAGAGGTGTCAGAAGTCCAGCCGGATCAATGACCTGGCTGCAAGTGCAGCTAACCTGCTTCAGGCACCTCGGAAACGGATGAACCCAGCCGAGCAAGCCAGTGCTTCCCAGGCGACTCTTCCCATCTTGTGCAATGTGCCTGGGGGACTTCCTGAGCCAGCACTGGGATCTGTGCCCCTAATAACCCCTAATAGATTTTTCCTCCATAAACAGGCCCGGGTGCTTTTTGAACTCATGCAAATGTTCAGCATCCACAGCATCCTGCAGCAAGAAGTTCCACTGCTTCATTATGCCAGAGCCACTTCCTTGGGCTTGCTTTGAACCTGCCACCTCCTTGTTTCACTGCTCCTCCCCATTTCTGTCCTGGAAGAGACTGTCATTTCAAACCCATCTCCCTCCAGCTACGGGAGCAGAAGAAATGGCATCTGACTTGCTGCTTTACTTGGGGACCTAGCAGTGTTGCCCTGAATTAACTAATAAGAGCAAAGTGTAATTCTGCCCAACTAGTTCAGGAAAACATTGCCCTTTTTGGAGCTCATTTGCATAGACAAGTTTCTACTCGGCATTTGTAGACTGCTCTTCACCGTCAAGACTCGCTAAATAATTTTGTCAGGACATCCTCTTCTGAGAATGGCACCGTATAGCACTATGCTCTTCTCAGGGGCTGGAAAGGATTTATAAAAGTCTTGCTATGAGGCAAGGGCTCCCCAGGTTGCTGGTGATTCAAGCCCTCTTGTTGTGAGCTGTGAGCTCCAGCTCAGTGAGCTCATGGGGTGTAACGTGATTAGCAGAGAGGAAGCTGTGTTTTTGCAGAGTTTGGCATGGCGTGGGAGCCCGCACGCATTTGTGCTGGTCTGTGCTGCCAGCACACGCTCACCAGTGGCTGCTAATGGAGGGAGACGTGGACAAACGCTCACCTCTGAAGGCAAAGAGGAATGTATAGATAGTCTCTAGCAAACTTTGCACAGGAGGCAAAATGTATGGGTGGTTTGAGTCATGTATGCACACAAATATGTATGTCAGGTCTAGGGGTTGTTCTCGCCTGTTTTCAGCATCGCTGCCACAAGTCCCCAGTGCACAGCTCCAGTGACAAGGCCATCTGTTTTGCCATGACAGCTGGCAGCTAGCAGAAGCCAGCATGAATAGTCTGTCTCCTTTGGAGTCAGCGTACTGCCAAACTTGCTAAGAAAAGCAATTTCAGCTGCGCCAGATGAAAACCACCTGCTGTCCCGGTCGGAGGCACGGGAAGTGTGGGCACCACGGCACCGGGCTCTCCCAGCCTCATGCCACATCCCTCCTGTGCTGCAAGGCATCAAGGTCCCTGGGCAGGGGAGGGCCCCAGCGACGTCTCTTTTCACCCCTGCTTTTTAGCAGGGAGAAGCTACGGTAGGGCTGTTCTCCCCAGGTGAACTTTCCCTGGGTTCTTTTTTTTCCATTTTCTTTTGAAAAATGAAGGATTTTCCTCCTTCTCTCTCTTTCAGTATCCTCAGTGTGACCATTACTCAGTGGCTGAGGGAGAGCATGGTGAGTAACAGTGCTGGGCATGAGGAAAGACTGACATAGGAAAATGCAGCGCGGAGGAGGAAGGGGCGCAGACAGTGTGGCCCCACAGGCTCTCCAAAGGGCAGAGCAGCGGTGACAAAGTGCACCAAAGAGGAAGCGAAATTAAAAAATGGGGAACTGCCAGCCCTCCATCGGGCATCCCCTGGGGAAGGTGTCCAAGACCAAGTCCCCAGACTGTGTTATCCAGCAATGTGTGGCCAGCTGCTGACTGGGGGCCTCCCAGCTGCCTGCTCCAGCCCTTCTGTGCCACCGCCGGGAGCCTTTTTGGGAGGTACTGCCCTCCCTAGTACCACAAACCCAAACACCATCTGCCTGGTGCTGATCCCACACACCTTGCTGCAAGGGGAGAGAGGTTGTCACAGGAGTCCCCTGGGGATGGCTACCTCCTTCCCAGTATTTGCTAGGCTTCCTCATGCAGAGAAGGGACCCAGCACCGCTGCTGGGAAAGCCAGCCCCTTTCGCTGCCTTTGGAGCATCCTAAAACCTCTCAGCATCCTTGGGACTCTCCTGAATAGAGCAATACCCAGCGGGTGGACCTGACCCAGGTCTGAATGCACTGCTCAGAGAAGTTAATCTGAACTATAATTTCAAATGTTGCCTTAAAAAGATGGCCAGGCACTGTTTAACACAAGTAGCCTTGAGACTATCCCAATAGAAACAGGGGCTTACAGGAATTTTCACGGGAGAGAGATGGGCCCATCTGCCAGCATCAGTGATGCCACCAGGAGGCTTTGTTTGAAGAAGGGAAACTGAGACAATTTACCCAGCAGCAAGGACCTCGGTGGAGTTATCACCACATTAAGGGAACCTCATTAATTGGGATTAGCGCCTGGGATCTCCCGCCAAGGTCAAAGCCAGAGGTGCAATTGCAACTCATTGCAGTCCCTACACCCCCCTTGCACTGTGTGCTGGTTTCAGTTCCACCCAAAACTCTGCCTGGGCTTAAGTGTGTGTCCTAAGAGAGAAGAGCAAAGGAAAATTTCCAACAGAAGGGTTTTTCAGAGCTGTCCATTGCGTTCGTTCGGCCTTGTAAAAGCTCACTTCATCTGGAAGGAAGATTTCTGTATATGTGGCCACACAACTGCTTTGCAGAAAAATTTTGAAGGCCACAATGGTATCTCTCCTGCAGACTTCCTGGGCCAAGGGAAAACCTGCCTGACTTTCCCTCCCTGTATTTGCAGAGCAAATTGGCAGGGATGTGCTTCTGCTTCCTTACATCAGGGCTGGCCTCCTTTCTGTGTGCTTGGGGAGAACTGCAAAGGTCTCAGGACAAAGCTGAGCTTTCTAGTTCTCATCCAATCCGCTGCGATAATTTTCATCCTTCCCTCCCTGTGTTACACATGTCCCTGTCAGCTTTGCTGCCGGACAGCTGAGGAAGCCCACCCTGCATCTCTGAGATGTCCTGTCTCACCCTATCCTGTCCTGTCCATCAGGAAAAGGTGATGGGGATGGAGTCCGTTTCTTATACCGCACTTTGTTTTTTTCTACACTTCCTTGATTAAGCCTGATGGGAAAAATCAGCTGTGCCAAAGCACTAGGGACTGTAAAATGCCTGGAAACACCAAAACCACGAGGGCAGAGCGTTCTTCCTACCCAGGAAAGCACAACCAGGGCATTCAACAAACATTGGTGTGCATGTGCCCGTGGTGTCAGGGTTTTATGGGGAAAGGGACTGGGATGAACCAGTGGTTTTAATTGTACACATTAATTTTGGCCACAGTCTTACTGATTCGATGCAGAGTGTTTTGGGACATGCACCTGCCTAAGCATTGCCAGTGCCACAGGCGCACTTCGCCAGCATGGAGTAGTTTGGTATTTCCTTTTCCCTGACACAGGAGAAATTTGTCTTGCATTAGCGTTGTTTCCTACCCACTTGAAAAGGAAGAAGTGGGTGGTGGCCACATCCCCTTCTCTGAAGGCTGTCCCCGGTGAAGGGGGCCCCGAGGCCAGAGGGGAGGGAGCAGAAGAAGCCCGCTTCGCCACAGCATCCGCTTGAATCACGTCAGACTCAGCTTTTAACCTGCCATCACACCGCCAAGGGTCAGCCCTGTCTGCAACACACCCTCTTCACCGTTGTCTAACCACCACAGCAGCACAGATGATTCGTTGCTCCCCAGCAATGCTGGCTGCAGACCTGCCTTCCCACAACATCCCATCCATAGCTGGCGATCCCTGCCAGGCAAAATCTCCTCTTTGTCCCTTTTTTGCCCAGAAGCTATGCCATCCTGCATCGTCTGTCACTCATCAGGAAGTTTTCTGGCGTGACTTCAGGTGCCAGCAGGGAGGTTGGGTAGCTGCTGTGGCCACTGACCATGAGAAACAAAGTCCCAGCAGGGAAGGCTGGCCAGGCTCATGAATGACCGCTGCTGGCTCGATGTAATGAGCAAATATTGTTAACGAGCAGCTGTATTCTCCCGGCTTTGCACCCTCCCCCTTTCCCATAGGCAATGGCGGGGTGTCAGGGCAGGCATCTCCCGCCTTGACAACCTGTGTGCTTGCAACCCAGGACCAGCAGAAATGCTCGCCGGAGCTGCACCAGCATGTGTGGCCCCTTTCCGCTTTCCCTTGGCCCTGCAACCTCCAGGCCAAAGCAGCTGTTGTACCTATTGCAAGGCTTCTCAGATCCCCTCAGCATGTGATGATGTAGGGATGCATGTGCTTAAGCCCAGACACCCACCCACCCAGACCAATATAATGCTCGTCTTGCTCAGATGTGGGGCAGGGGGGCCTGAGACCCTTCAACCCAAACAGTCATTCAGCCTTGCTGGCATATCTGGACCCTCAGATGCTCCCTCTGAGGGCCAGTGCTCGTCGGTGTTAAGG